AAATAGCAGCGTGCTGTCTGCAACTCCAGTTTTATGCAGAGAAGGGGCATGCAGGTGAGGTGCTGATAATCTGGTTTCAAGCCATAACTTCCCTAAGCTACCATAACTTACATGTGCTACCTCTGAGCTTCAACATCCCATCCACAAAAATGGGACTACCCACATCGTTCTGTCTCAAAGACATCACAGGAAAACAAACATATCTAAAATTACAGAGGGTTTTGAGAATATTATAGATGCAGGAGCAGATTGCACTCTCAGCTGAATTTCTAACAAAGACCTACCCAGAGCTTTCAAACCTGTCAATAAATCAAGGATTAATGATCTCAGCCTGCACCATTTTGTAACTCATTACTTTAGGCACCAAAGCTAGCGAGCAGTTTTAGTCCTACATGACTTACTTTTTTTGTCTATGGATGGTCACTGCAAAAATCTGAGGCAGTTAGTTATTTCCTAGGAACCCTGATTACTATTGTTCAGCCATTATCATAACCACGTTTCTGTATATGCTGCTTTCACTAATTTGCCTGCTTTTTACAGTGAAAACTGTCATAACTGCTTGATTTAAAATGCAGACTGCCTGAGAAAGAGCCTCCTGAGAAGTGATGGGTTCAGAGAAGTGCTACGTGTGGAGGAGAGCACTTTAAATTGAAAGCGGGTGCTCTCATGTTTCTGCAATGAGATTGGCAGGGCTATGTGTTATTAAAACTGGAGTCTTACAAGATTTCCTTCAGAAAATGTCCTTTGGTCCTGTCCGTCTCTTCAGCCAGTTTCTCTGAATTGTGTATATGTGGATAGCCATAGGTCAAATTAATCTATTTTTTTTATTTGATGGTGTTGTTACCAATGCATATATTTGGCCATAGGTACTGACAGCACCCCTGGAGGTATTAACTTAGGCACATGGTTTAGTGCTGGACTTGGCAGCGTTAGGTTTACAGCTGGACTCCATGATCTTAAAGGTCTTTTCCAACCTAAATGATTCTATGATCTTTTTGACTCTTTTCCCAGCTTAATTTTTGTAAATCAGCATACAATCATCTATTCTTTCTGTGGTTTATTGTATTATCATACTTTCTATCTCAATACCTCCTGAGTGTTAAAACAACAGACTACACTACAGTTTGCAATGCAGGGCTAATTCATCCCTACTTTCCAACACAATTCCTCACATCATTTCCAGTATTTCAGAGAATAAACACTTATTTTAATCACCATGTGCTGCATATATAATTTTTTTTCCAAGGTGAAATTTCCCTTTAATGGAGGCTGGATCATGAGAGAGCAATTATATGAGTTGTGTGCATGTTACAGAATAATTTAAAATCAACTTTCAGGTCAATCTTTTTTAATTATCTATTTTATCAACTGTTTTTGACTAGCAATTTAAATAATTGTGTTTGCCTAATACCTGGAAATGTAATTGCTTTTAGATGGCCTTTATTCTGATCTGAGTGTCAGTATCTTTCTCTTCATACTGCACATGTTTGCACCTGTCTGCATGGTGACAGATTTGTGGTGACAGCTTGTATAACTTATTTATAAAATGATGAATTATTTTAGAATTTCTTTAAGTTCACAGACTGGAAATATGGAGAAACACCTGCTTGCTGCAGAGAGCTGAAGAGGATATGCTAAGTCAAAGGGAAACTATATGAATTGGTGAAGAGCACATTTCAAGTGAAACAAAACCCCATGGGCCATCCTTCTGCTGCTCCAGGTTTCAGGGAAGCTCCACGGATGTAAGTTTTTAGCTACACACTCCCTGTTGCTCAAGCCAGAGGTCACAAGGAAGGTTCTCAAAGGCTTTAGGGCATGGACTCCACTGGAGTCTGGGGGGAGCAGCAAACCCCTCAGGGTTGGCTCAGAGCAGAAGCCAAGTGGAAGTGCTCTGAGTAGTGTCTGGCAAAGCCCCCCCACTGAGCCTAGCTGGAGCCAAGCAGCCCCCTGTGCCCAAAGCACACATCTCCTTTCCTGTGTCTTTCTCAGTCCTACAAGGAAAATACCTCGCTGTCCACTTTGTGGTTACTTGAGCAAAGACTTCACCAAGTGGCCCAGTGCCATTTTGATCCCAACATTAAACATGCCCTGTCACTGTAGTCACAGTAGGAGTGTTGCTACGAAGCCATCTTGTTAACATAAAAGGTTCAGTTCATCAGCAGGTGGTTTCGCTAGGTAACGGAGTCTGGGATGTCCAGCTGATGTGCTATAGAAAGAGTAATGAGATCCTCTGATAGCAATTAGTCCTCATTCCCAGCAGTACAAGCAGAAATAAATAAGTGAATTACCTTGTAGGAGCTGTAAGTGGAAAGAGCAAATACTACAGACAGATATTGCATTGCACAACCAGAGCACACCGATAAAGGACCACTAAAGGAGCAGCACACGTACAAAGTACGCTCTGACCAGATGTTAACAGCAGCAGTACCCAGAAGCATCAGGCTGGAAAAGTCTACGCAGGGCAGGCAGTTTCTGCACATGAAAGAGTCATTATAATAACTAGCTGTGGCTTACATGTAAATATGCCTGAATAGGGGTCATCCAGCGCAGCAGACACCCTTTTCCTGTTGAGTTTTTGGTATCTCTAATTTCTTCTGAGGCCTGCCAGGAGTACTGTTTGCTCATTTTAGAGAGTGATTCCTGGAGCAGAGGCCACAACTGACACTGCGCAACAGCAGTGCTTAGTTGACGTGTATTAGGACAATCAAAATAATCCACTATACCCCAGCTGATAGAGTAGTACTGCACTTACAAAGAGGTTATCACACGTGTCTGAATAAAGCCTACCTGGACACATCCTTTTGATAGACAGGTAATCCATTACGCATATTTGTCACAAAGTCACTCTCAGTCACTTTTGTACATAATGAAGATACATTTCATCATCACTCAAAAAAAGACATTGCTTTGAATTTAGCATCCACCATGAAATCCTACTCATAGAAACATCCATTTATCAGCTACTTAATGGCCTTTAGATTGGAAGGCAGCTTCTTTTCTAATCTAAGAATGGTTTGAGTTGGAAGGGACTTAAAGCTCATCTTGTTCCAACCCCCTGCCACAGGCAGGGACACCTTCCACTAGAGCAGGTTGCTCCAAGCCCCATCAAACCTGGCCCTGAACACTGCCAGGGATGGGGCAGCCACAGCTTCTCTGAGCAACCTGTGCCAATGTCTCACCACTGTCACAGTGAAGAATTTCTTCCTAATATCTAATGTAAATTGTTTCATATTGTCCAGCTCAGTTCTTGGTTTCATTAAACCTGCAGCCCTGTGTAAGTTTGTATTTCTGGCCCATAATATTGTGAACTCTATTCAGGCCACCAGTGAACATCAGTGTTTAAGCTCTGTGCCAGCTCTGATTATTATTGTGTACTGGTTAGCCTGCTAGGTACGTGGCAAATGACCACTCTGGTGTTAGGCCAAGTCTGGCCTGGGCCTGAATGTTTAACGCTTCAATACTCATAATAATGCAATATAGCAGCATATCAATTCCTACAAAATTAGCTGCAGAATTGCTCCTGGATGTAATTATACATAGTATTGACATTTATTTTCCTACCAAGAAAGACTGAATTTTATTTTTGAGAGTGACCAAGATATTGGCATAGTGCTTTGTGCTTTTCAGATTGTCTCTATTTGAAAAATTATCTATCCCTTAAGGTAAATTAAATGAACCTTTTTCTTTTGTTCTTTCAATCCTTCTGCTAGAAGCCGAATGCCGTTCAGCTGGAACTGCATGTAAGCCAGAGATACACAGGTTGCTCCTTTGCGTATTGATTTCTCAAGCAGCATATAGACAAAGAAAAACTAGCAGGAATAAACCTAGGCAATTCAGACTATCCTCATTGTCAGAAGAAATGCAGGTATTTACTGTGCTTATGAAGGAATATGACTTGGTCAGACCATGTAATGATGCAGTCAGTGAGATTTCAGGAATAAGACAAGGGGATATGTGAACTCGCAAAAAGGATGGAAGCAGAGAGTCCCAACACCTAGAGATCACACACACAGCTGATATCATACCCTTAGAAGGCAAAATTTGGTCTCCATTTAGACCCATTCATCCTGCTTCCAGCATTAATGTGATTGAACACAGCAGCATTTCCCAGCACCTTGTTCCTATCAGAAATAGGAAAACACTGTAGAATATTTCTCCATCAACACAAAACCTTCTTCCTGGCTTTATCTGTCTCAGTGAGAGACAGCGCGGTGCACAAAGGGTAAATATAGCTACTTCCTAGCCCAGAACCAGAACTGTTGGTGTAGGTTTACCTTTACATTCCTACTCTCAGTCTTGGAATGGAAAAGCTGCTACTACGACTCCTGCTCGAGACACTTGCTTTGTCCCGAGTCCTTCTATGCAGATTTATTTTCTGCCTCTTTGCTAATATTTTCTGCTTGCAGTCACATTTTCTGCTTGTTTCTATTGGCATTGTTTATCTATGAGTATGAACATGCATGTCTGTGCATGTTTTTGTGCTTTTATCATATATTTGTGTATGTGACTGTATGTTTGTATTTCACTTGTAATTGTTTCCTTCTGGCAGCACTGAAAAGCTGTAAATATCCCTATTTCTTCTGGCACGTACAAGCAGTTGTGATTACAACAGTGCAAGTTTGGAGATAACAGCTGACACATCCCTTTCTGATCACAACTTCTGTGGGAAGCCTGCCTTTTAGTCTGCATTTGGTAAGGAAAAATAAGGGTGTTTCACAGAAGATAAAACTGTGTCAGCTTGCACTCACCTAGGGATGTGCTGAGCTCTGAGACAGGTGAGCTTAATGTTCAGATTGAAGTTGCACATTGTTAAGCTGAACATTATAAATATATTCTTAGGTATGTTAGAATCAAGGCATCACATGGCTCTTTCGAAATAAATTCCAGAAGTTCTGCCTAAATAGTACAACTCTAGAATTAAAGTGAAAACCCACTGAAGTGGCATTAAAAAAAGCATATATACTCACGTGGAAAAGACTTCTTCTGTAATCACACCCTACCTTCACATAGAGGTTTATAGCACTTAGCCCTGAAATAGTGCAAATCTGAAGAGCAGCAAAGACCTCAGATTGCTTCATTTTTGTTTGAAATGTAGCTGTAGCAATATTTCAGTTAACTCTATGTTTTCATATCAAAAGCAGCACTGTGAATGGAGACAGGTCATTTGTATAAACAATTAATTGAATGAACCTCTTTTTCTCCTTGTTCTTGTACTATATATGAACACAGTGTGGTTTACATGTATATAACTCAATTTTCATTGGGGAAAAAAATCCCAACAAACACACACACAAAATAGCTCAAACCCTAAGCAAAAACCAAAACAACCAGCAGCTAAAACCCCAGCAGAACTCAGAAGCTGATGCTTCAATTCTGACACCTGAACTCGACTGGGAGGATATGGTGTGCCACTGAAACTCCAGGGTGGAAATGAATGGATAGATGAGTTAAAAGAGCAGGTAACACAGATGATGGAGATTTCAAAGCAAATTGTTTCTTTGGCATTTAAAAGGATTTCCCCTTGCACAGCCAGTTGCAGTGGTAGGACTTCAGAAGAGAAGCTGTTCCCTGCCTACTCTGCATTTGCACAGTGCTTATATTTAGCTTAACTTCAGCCACTGGACCTGAAACTGCCTCAGGCACTTGGGAGACTGTGAGATAAAACATAGATTTAGCTTATCTATTTGCTTTAGTGTTCATTTTGTAAAATCAGGAAAATACGTGATTGAAATCAGGCTTCACTGGTTGGAAATAATCACAATTCATGGAGTGCTCTGCATTTACTGCCCAGCATGCAATCAAAACGTGTGACAGTGAAACGGCTCCTCCATCAGCACTGAAATGTGTATCTTGGTTGCAGGTCTTGAGAGTCTGAGGTTAGATAAAGAACTGGGCACTCCAGAGGTGCCCAGTTATTATAAGAGAGATCCTGGACAGCCAGCCTGGACCTGTGCTAGTAGAAGGGCCGAGATGCCAGTAGGTCTGCCTCACCCTGAGCAGACTTTTGTGTGGCATCTGTAAGTGTACCCACAAGCAACAGAAACGTGTGCTCCTGTGGGCAGCGACAGGGATCCAGGAGCCAGCAAGGAATGGGCAAGTGCCCAGGACCAGCAAACAAACAGAGCCAGCGATGCACTAGGAGCTGGCTTTGCCCATAGAGCTGCTTTTAAAACCACTCACCCACAAAGGCTACGGGGAAACAAGAGCCGCTGTTTCCAGTGCTGTTAGCTGGGATGAATCTCCTGGGTTTTGTTCTAGCAGGCACACTGCAAGCCTGTCCTTCCTGCAGGACCTGAAGTTATGCCAGAAGCTGCACGGTGCAACTGTAGCATGCACCAAACCTCTTGGATGAATAATAGCCCATCCAGGCCCAGACAGAGCCATTATGATATATTAAGTCAATACAGCATAGAGTCCTTCGCATTTTTGTCCTGATCTGGAGACGTTAATTGCATTCATAATAGCTCCAGGGGGCCTGCAGACTAAACACAATTTCAATGAACTATTAGAGCTCTTTCTTGGAAAGGACCATTAAGATTGCAGAGCAAGTGCTCAGGACTGAGATGCCATTTGTACAAGCTGTGTCATCACAAACAGTTTGGGGACTTGCAGTCTCTGTAGCGAAAACAGTATGTGAGGCAGTATACAGCAAACAGCTCTTCTGAAATCCTTCCAGACCTTGTTTCTGTGCAGTATTTGAGTTAGGACTCAAAAGTAATGGTACATGGACTAGTCCTGCTACAAGAGCCTTTGTCAAACTGAGGTGGTTTTAAAGGAATGGAGCTTAATAATCAATCCTGTTCTATGACTGTGCTATTCATAACCATTTACTCCATCTCCACAGAATTACAAAAAATAGCTACCACCCCTTTGGGATTCAATATTCAAACACAAATAACTCGTAAGTGATGACATTTTTTAGCAGTATCAGAAAGCACTGGCACCGTTTAATCTTTTGTTGATTGAATTTAGGGTTTGGCTTTTAAAATGAAGGCACGATAAAGCCCTTCAATTCCAGCAGCACAAACAGTGGCGAAGTGCTTGCAAAGCAGTTTTGCTTACTGATTGCATCAGGTTGGGTTTGCTGCGATGCACCACGTTTAGGGACAAGAAGAAAAAAAACAGCACTGAAGTACTGGGGGAAACTGTATCTGCATCATCATAGCTTTTCAGATTTTTCATACCCTTATTTTTATGGAAACAGATTTATATAATGTTTATAAACTTATGTGGCTAATTTTCATGTAGTGCCTTGAGACAGACACTGGGCAACCCTTGAAGAGACATGAAGGAGGTGAATATGGAAGGGCTGAATAACAGCAGGTGGTTTCATACAAGATACTGAAGGTGATGTTTCTTGCATAACAAAATGCTGGTGAGAAACTGAGATGAAGCTCTGAGATTGGTTTTGAGGCTTTAAATGAAGCAAGGTTAAAATCCCCCAGTGTTAGCTTTGTCATGCTAAACATGTTTCATATTATATCTCTGCATACACTTTTAATTAATTCTTATCATTTTCAGAGGCAACATGACCTTGAATAAGAGACGTGCTGTAAGACCATGGTAGTGACAATATAAATAATATAAAAGCAATCCTGGATACAGACAAGTTTGTATTTGCTTCTATCTAAAACTTACCTGGCTGTCCTTTAATACTTTACAGAGCATGAAGAGGCATAATAGTTGTCACCTTTCTGAACTTGGAGCAATGTAGAACAGGGTGCATAACTTTGTGAAGTGCAGAAGAATCTGGGTTCAGGTAATGCTGTTCTCATCCCTGCCATAGTGCTGCAATGTAATAAACAGTTCAAAGATGGCAAAATCTGTAGTGAGATTAAAGGCTGGGAGCCATACATATAGCTTGTAAAAAAAGTGGAAAACCAAATAAATCTGCTTTAGGGGGAGGATAAGGGAAGGGTCTGGTAGTTTTACTGTCGTGTTTTCTGTACAATTTTAGGTCACATGAGCAACTTAATAATTTCTTCTGGATCTAATATAAAACCCTGGAGTTCATGTAAACAGCCTCTCTGTTTCTGAAAGAGCAGATTTCCCAGACGCTGGAGGGCTGGATATTCCAAACTGGACACCCACCATTAGAGACTGCTATTTAAAAATCAGGCACCAAGAATTTCTGATCTTGCTCAATACCCAACAAACTCCTTTGTTTGAATGCTTAATCCCACACCATTAGGCACAAAGGTCTGTTAAAATAATGTGGCTTTGGGTGTTCTGCCTTTTGCCTGTTTTAAATTATCTTTCTTAACCCTACAAAAAGTTACTCTCTGAGAATAACCCGATTTACATCAGCCTGGATATACTGTCTACTCCTCTGCAGGTACCACTCGCATAGGTATATCCTGTGCTACCCAATTACAAGTTTGGTCAAATATCTTTCTCTAGCAATCTATTTAATACCCAAATAAAGAACCAAGCCTCTGAACTCTTCTGAGTTCTCGGTATCTGATGTTGTGCTGACTTATTTTGGAAGCAGCAATGCTCCTTGGAGGGCAAGAACATAGGTACAGGGTGAGGCATGGCTAGACAACACCAGGCTTCAGAGGCACGGTAGAACTGAGGTATGGTTTGCTATTACTTTATCCCCAGATATTCTCTTTGCTCGGCACAACTAGTGGGTGACAGCCTTATGTAAATACAAATGTAATTGCTGATTTGGATACTTACAGTCCAGGTACAGATGTTTTTCTAGGTTTAGTTTAAATAAAGTGAATCTAACGAAAGAAGGAAAAGCAGGAATAGTCAGTGGTAATGGGAAGCTGAGTTTACTGCAATGACATTATTGCCCCAGCCACGGCTGGAACAGAAGCAAATTCACTTGTGCAGCCTCCTACCACATCCTCAGGTCACCACCTCTTCATTCTGCCACCTTTCAGTATGTACTACCAATTCGTGTAAGACACACAACTTAGCAAATGACCATGACTGATCCACTGCATTTAGGGCAAGAGGGGTTAGGAGGTCGCAGTGACACTTGACACAATGGTCTGTGTCTGCATATCAATGGCTGGTGCCATATGGGCCTCTTGATTTCGGAGCTTCCCCCTTCTCCTCTTTTGGTAAATTCACGGTTCAGAAGTCCAGCTTTCTTCCATCCACAGCTATTCACATGCTACAGCCCATCATTGCTGTCGGATGCCAGGCAAAAATCATTCTTTTCGTAAAAGCTAATCTCTTTATAACAGCATTTATACATAAATTAATGATAGATCAAAATATAAAGATGTTCATTTTTGATTATTTGCCCATTTACAGGAAATTCAGTTAAAACTGTTTAGTTTTATCATCACTAGACAAAATAAGCATGACAGGATATTCTAGCCTCTGGATTATGTAGATAACACACAGAAATGTCATTTCCATTTTCATTCTTTTCACAGAGCAACAAACCCATGCTTGCAAGCAAATTAAAATTCAGAACTTAATTGGATTTTATATTCTCTTTAAACAGGTAATATTGTTTTTCTTCTTTTTATTATTCTATCTGAACAGTGGATTTCATTTTGAGAGTGTGCCACTGAAGGTAAGAGGCCTTCTGTGCTAAATGGTTCATTTAACACCATTAAAATCTACCTTTCTTCAACACATTTGAGGATTTAGATTGTTGAATGCCAGTAGTTCAGTATTATTGTTAAACAAGAGAAGGCTATGGAAAATTATTTTCTTGCCTGTATGCATGAACATACATATGTGTGTATACATGCACACAAGCACATGCATATACGTCTATATATTTGCATGCATGTGCACAAACATATGTGCACTCATTTAAATGTACATCTCTGCATGCAAACGTAGAGAAAATGTTCCAATAATTTACCTCTGCATGCCTTTATGTTTACCACGACTTGACAAACAATTTAGGAAAATTAGAAAAGCAGCAGCATATTTTGTTTGAGTCTTTCTGGAAATCTAAGTATGAAACAATGGAAATCATTCACTGTTTCCCTTTCTTCTGTTTATCATGAGCTTCACCGAGGTGGCACTGCCTGATAATGCATTTATGATTCTATCTCTGCTGTTGGTCAGTAAAGTCCAAAGAGCTTCTCTGCTACTGAGGATTATGAAGAACAGTCTTCCCACTACTCATGAATGGCATGCCCTAGCTAGGGAAAAGAGTCTTATTAGGGCAGAATAAGAAGTATCCTGGAGAAAACCTCACTAAGCTGGTCATATTGTCATTGAAAAAGATACCAAGAATGGGACTTTAGCAGGAAACAGCACTTGTAACGGTGACAGAGGGAAAAGTCACCTTGATGCACTCCATCTTACTTTACCACTGCTGACTCTCCGTGTCAGAGAGGAGCACTGCAGTGCCAGGCACTCTGCAATTGAGACCTCCTGACACACTTCTGTTTTGTGGCACTGGAAAGCAAGGTTTCACTCCACACAAGCCATTTGCTGAATGAAAATTCTGGATGATGAGAAAGCATTTCCTGGACAGCACTTCTCCCTGTGAGTGTTCCCAGCACAACAGGGGAGCTGGGAGGCAAGAGGCCATTCCTGTTGCATCCCCAGGCAACATGGTCACGCTTTATCCCAGGGTGACAAAGGTCTTCTTGCAAACATACATATTCCCATTCATCTAATGAACACTTCACGACCCTGAAGAATTCACTGAAGCGGAAGCCCAATTCAAAAAGCCTCAGTGCTGAACAAACACACTTGCCCTAATCCCAGGTCTTCCTTTACTCCAGTTACTTCTGGTCAGTGCATGTCAAACATCACACCCACAACTGAAAACCTCCACACTGCAAATCTGTATGGGGTGAGGCATGAGCAGCAAGGCATTGCTAACTGAGGGCCTAATTATAAAACTGCCATTACCTTTGGGAAATAACTGACCGCAAATGTCAGCTCACCAGCAGGGGTAGGAGCATTCTTGCTGAAGTATAAAATTCTCTGTATTAAGTTTCTGCTTTTCACGCTGTATCATTTTCAAGTGCATGACTTAAAACTGATTATACCAGACATCTTCCCACTTCTTCTGTGTTTTCCCTTCATCAGTGATGCCAGCTTCAACACCTGCCACAAGCTACATAAGTGTGTAAATTAAAAAGTACCTTGCCTCCTCTACATTGACCTTCTTCACAGATTATTACCTGCACTTACATCCACCTAAGACGGAACCTCCACATGTACAATGCAGCAAAACCTCTGCATCATCTGAAAATTTACTCCTCATTTTATAAGTTGTATTTATTGTGGTTTGTAACTAAGTGAGGATTTGGAATAACTTTTCAAAAATGAACCTTTTCCACACAAATGCACCCCTAAGTAATAAAGAAATAAGCAAGGAATAAGAGTCACATTTTTTGTCTGGCTAGATCTCTGTTCCCTGGGAGTTCAGAAGCGGGCACATGACTCTGTCAGAAAGCCATTTCTGTGTTTTTTCTGCCCAACCTTAAGTAAAAAAATTCTTAAATGAACACATAATGGGAAAACCTGCTCCCACCGGGATATCAAGTCCAGCTTTGTAGACATCAAAGTTCTGTCTAATTCAAATTGCTGTGGCGTAACTGTCAGAATTTGCTCTGCCATGCTTATTTATTTCAGCTGCGTGGCACTTTTCTCTTACGCTCAGCCCAGTGATGAACCCGGCCAGCCCCACTCACACGTGATTTCCATCACAGTGCTGAGTGATGTGAAACTCAAGCATAAACTGCTCTTCCCCAGCCTCTGTGCCAGCCTCGCTCTCTGCTCAAATGTCCAGAGGACATGGACATGAAAGGGGCCCACAGAAGCAGTCACAGAGAGCAATTTTTGATTTTGGAAGAGTTTTCTGAGGTTTTTTTTCCTACTCTCCCATCTTTTTTGGTTTCAACAAACGCATTTTCTGTTCCAGTAATAAGTCAAAGCTCTCTTTAAAGCACAACCTCCTATGAAGGTAAAAAAGTAAAACACACTTGGTCAGAGAATTTTTCATCTCTATCTCCTGTCTTCATGTGACGATAGCTGAAGACGCATTTCTACCAGAAGTACTTCTGATGTATAGCTTTTGTTTTGAGTAAATAAATAAACTGAAGTACTGGATTTTGGCATAAAATTCTGACTTTTCTGTGGAATGCCAACACTTCCCACATCTGTAAGGCAACACACATGAAACAGAAGGATCTATTCCTTTCCTTCTGGTCCTTGTCCTTCAAAAAAAAACCCACCAATGCCTTTTCCTTTGCAAGAAGACCCTTCCTCTTTCTATCAGTAACAAGACTATTGCCCCTTTCAAATGAATAATGATTTTATATTTACAGGTGAGACCATATGCTTCCATTCACCTCCTGCTTCAGAGAGTACCTGGTTAGCTACTGCCCTATAAATGCCATCAACTTGACTCGCAAATATGATGGAAACAAATGCATTTTAAATGCATATGGGCAGGGTAGCTGGAGGGCTATACAGCTGCAATCCCACTACTCATACTTTTATAGCAGAGCAGTTCTGTGCTTCAGCTGCAGCTCCCACCAGCAGTACTGGTACCACAGCTGCATACTGCAGGTTAGGGGTGATGGAGATCCCCAAGGGGCAGGTGCCGACTGGAAAACCTCAGTGACACAGTGCTGATCTGTGTCATGATTAAAACCCCAATACCGGTGATGGGAAGGATTTTAAAGGTCTGTTTAAATTAAATAGAAATTACATACTCCTCTTGTATGTCTAGCTTTTCTAATTTTAATTTTTTAAATAAAGACTTGCTGAGCATATCCAGTATCTGCTTTTCTAGCTATGGTGCAAGCAGTTAAGACCAGCTCTTTTTATTCTATGCAAGTGACTGGACTGGGCTGTTGAGTACTCAGCATTACCAAAACATGTAATTCTACTCATGCAAGGGATACCCATCAGCTTTTGTCTGTCTGCTTTAGGTAATTGTGTGAGACTAAGTAAAATTCAAGTAGTTCCTGAAAGGAAGAGGCATTCATGAGCAAACCTCTGTAGAGCAGGAGGATGGTATTATTTCTACTTTTCAGCTGACAGGGAGGCCTGGCAAGGGACTTATCCAAAGTCACACCAAAGTCTGTGGTTCTCACTAGCCCCACCCCACCTTGCAATGCTTTGGCAGCTCCGATTCCTGTGCATAAGGTAATTGTGAGCTCCACAAGGAGCCTGTGATGGTCAGCCCTGTTAGGGGGCTGTTACTGATCACTAAATCCAACTCCTAAAAAGATGTATGGAGATGCAGTTGTGTAGAAGGCAGCTCGTCAGTGGCACCAGCAGAGAGAGGAATTCGCTGCAAGACAGCAGAGCTAACACACGAAATTGTCAGGGCAGGATGACTACCCACAGGCAGAGTTAGGACATTTTATGGGAAAAGCATCCCACTCACACCATCCTGGTAGTTAGATGCAAACAAGCTCCTTGCTGGCATACCCAAGGCATGGCAGTGGCTCCCTACTGATTTGATGAAAGAGAACTATGGGACAACCTATATGGTGGTGCAGGTGTGGGTGGGTGAGTAACTGGGGCCTTAACCCTTCTCAGAAACATTGTGGTTTGCAACTCTGGCTCTCACAAGAGGTCTCTTTGACCCCTGATACTGTGAAATGAACTTTTGGGCAACTCGGATACATGCTTTTAAACAAAATCATGTTTCTGAAGGCAACACGTGGGGAAAAAAAAATCCCTTCTTTCCCCACTTCACTTTGGAAAACAGGCTGTTGAAATAGTTTTCTTCTTAAGTATTTAATATCAATGCTTAGGGAAAAAGCAACAGCAGGAAAAGGTTGCCAAGAAATACCATCTTTCAAATTGTGGGTGTTGATTACTAGTAAAAGGGAACCTGGTGTTATCCTCTTTGTTAGAAGAAAAATAAAGGGGGAAAAAAAGAGCCAAGATAAAACTAATTTTATGTCATTAAATTATACTTTTGTCATTACAACCGATGCCAATGGAGTGGCCATAAATCTAGCTCCTCAAAGAGAGACAATAGAGTAAGACTGGTTTTAAATTACAGAGGTTTTTTGCATGCAGATATATTGAAGGACTTCATTCAGCTGTGACTATTTATAGTTTTAAGGTTATCTTGGCAAGAAGTTTATGGCCTTTATATTACCCCTAGACAAGTCCAGTTTGGTCAAACATAGATAAATATTCCAGAGGTCCTCAAGTATATTTATCTTGCACCCATCATCTTCCCACCCACCCCAATATACCCCAAACCAGAAAATACCATGCAATGCCTCTAACAATCTCAACACCTTAGGCACAACTCCTGACACCTCAGGAACATGCTACAGGAGATGTCAATGCTCCTAGCATTTATATAAATGTGGCCAGTTATATTAATGGGTCATTAAGATTTGCCACCTATCTGTTCCTGTTGCAGGGAGCTGTCAGAAGTGTGATGGGCTGAATGTGACAGCACAGCCGCTGTGATTTTTCTCTTGCTTGCAGAGATCAGTCTGTCGCCTCAAGCCTGAACCCACTTTAAAACTTGCTGCCTGGTGAATGGATTAATTTGTAGCAAGATCTAAAAGTCATGGATTTTCCATGACTTTATCTCCAGTCTAAAATATAAGCTCAATATCTCTAATGCTTGAGACACAGGAAAGATGTGAAACGTGCCCTTTAAAGGGTTTGTTTCTATTCTTTTTGCCGATTGCCGTTTGTTGTTCTGCCACCTTGCCGACTCACACAGCATCTTAGCAACATCCCTGGCAGCCTGCTATAGGGAGATAATACTAATTAGAGTTATCAAGTCCATCTTGATTTTGACATGATGCTGCACACTGCTGTGCAGACTGCAGACGATACATCTTCCCCCCCTCCACCTCCCAGATGTAGCACAGCTACAAATGCTCAGCTCAGATCAAGTTATAAAGGAAAAAGAGAAGGTCACCAGCCGCTTGCAGCAAATCTCCTGCTGATTCTGTGCCAAAACACTACTGCTTTTCCCAGAGTAAGCCCAGTTCTGGTAGATTTGCCAGGTTATACCTCTTTTCTTACACTGGATCTCAATAAAGTAGTCATGCATTCACAGTGTTTAGAAACTAAATTCATTTTTTATTGGACCAACTCTGCAAGCCTCATCAGGAAGCAGCGAATGAGCTGGAAATCAAGCTATAAAACACATTATATTCCTGTATTAGAATACAGAAATTGACAGGTAAAAAATACACTCAAAAAAGTGTTATAACAATAAATAGAGCCTAACAGGAAAGGAATATTTTTTCCTGTTGTCTGGTTGTCTGACTTGCTATGGAAATGCTGCTTTAAGAAACTTCATTATGAAACAAGAGTCAACAGTATCAAAATTTCACCTTTCTTTTTGGAAACCCAAACAAAAGTACAGCATGATTTCAAAGTATGAGAGATTTTGATTTTCCCAATAATTCTGTTATCCAATTGTGCCCCTTTAATTAGATATCAGCAGCACTTTATTTATTTCTAGTGTATTGTTACCAGGTTTTTACCTATCTCCCAGCCTATGAGAAAAATCAGGAAAATAGACCTACAAAAATTAATCTTCCTTTTCCCTGTGCAGAGATATTAAAATGGTAATTGCATTCTTTATACCTCTAAAACCTGGTTATACTTCTAGATACTTATCTGAAAGCCCAGTGAAATTGTGTGATAGCTGTTGTTGATGCTACTTACACATTACTGGAAGTTATTGAGATGTGATAATAATCAGTGCATTGTAATAGCTTCACACAGTGATGCTAAAGTTCATTGGTGCCTTTGATTTCTACACTGAAGGGTGATTGTCTGGACAAATAAACTCCATTTATTAACTTCTAATGTCATACTTACCTTTATTTATTATAGTACCGGAAGAAATTTTGTCATCTCAATGACAACCTCAGCTTGCAAAGGGCAATTTCTTTAAAACCTGGAGCTTAAGTACAGACTGCCTCCCCATGAGCAGGTAGGTTATGTGGTCAGATCCCACTTTATTCCTTAATGTAATTCACTGTCCCATAGAAATATCTTCCGCTCCCTCTCTCCCTTCCTCCCTTTCTCCCTCCTGAAAGTCCTCAAACTGGTATGACTTTGTTGTGGTTGGTTGCTCACTCCTTGTAAAGATCAGGACCACTTTGAAACATGTCCAGGTTAAACTGTTTGCTACACAATCCATGAAAGCACGGACTTCAAAAAAGTATCTCATAATTCAGGAGGATTTAACAGAAACAACTCAAAGGTTACACATTGTTGTCTCCTGCTCACTGAGGTTCTGTACATGATGGATTGGGGGGAATTTTCCACTTTGTGGCAGGGCTCATACACCCCACGAGGAGAGAGCAGGAGGAAGACGTCCCAGTTAACCCACTGCCAGTCCCACGCCTGTGATGTGCACCATAGGATGAACTCACCAAAAGGGGAGGTTGGCTGCTCCTGGGAAGGAAGTGGGCAGAAACCAGTTGCCTCCTCGGTCATGGGAGTCCACCAGCAAGAGAGTGATAAGAAGACAGCTGCTGCCCTTCAGTGGAAGGAGGCAACACTGATATTTTAGCCTTACAAGGCTTCTCAGAAGCCACTGTGTGGTGTGGGTTGTGATAAAACCAGTCTTCCCTTATCTTTGGGATATAGCACCTTCATGCATCAAAGCCTCCTAAAATAGGAGGGATGGTGAAGGGTGATAGGACTTCCTTTTTTTGTTTTTTTTTTTCTTTGTTTTGCTTTTAGATCAAGTTATTTGAAGACTTCATTTTCCATAGGCTCAAGCATAGAAAGGCTAAGCAAGAATTATGAACAGTTTAGCTAGAGGCACCTTTCTTACTTGTGATCCAGACAGGCCCTTCAGGAAACGCACGTGTTCTGATTACTCATTCCAGAGCCACAACATGTGCTGAAATGGTGAAACAGAAGTTCTAGTTAAAAAAAAACGAGGGAACAGAGATCTTTTCAAAACTCAGTATTTTGTCCTCTGGAAGAAGTTGTGTCAACGAGAGAAGGAAGTGAACAGGTTACACTGTTAAAAACTCCTCTAACATTTGGATTTATTTCATTGTCATTTGGCAAGTTCTCACAATGGCCAGCTTCAAATGCCCTAGAGTAATTGCAAAAGAAACCCCATTAAGAGACCCTGATGAGGGAAACTATTAAAATTGAATAGACAATTTCTCTACCTCATTTTTGCAGCAAATAATATAGTTCCACAATGTTTTTCTCTTTTCACTGGAAGTGTGAATTACAGTCCTATAAATTCACCCTTACTGTCAATTAAATTAAATAAACATTGTCTGAGTGCATTAGGAAGAGATAGAAAACAATTCAATACCAGGGCCAGTTACTGAGGAGGTTTTTAATGAACATAAATTGATGTAATTAAAATAAATCTGCTTTTCACGTTTCTCAAGAAGATGCCTTGTAGCCGTTCATGTAGAGCTCTACCACAGAATAAACACTGCCTATGTTACTACCTTTCCTCAGATTAAATGGAAGCTTCCTGCTTTCTGGGGTTTCAGAGACGAGTAAGGCTGGAGGATGCTGTCTACTTAAATGGTTGTTAAAAGAACGTGAAAGAAAATATCAAAATTTATCTTATTTTGTTAAATTCTGCTTCCCCTCCCCCAGCATCACCTTCTTTTTATAGAAAGAAATGAATAAATAAAAGTGCCTTTCAATATCACTTTTCATAAGCTGTTGGTAAATAGTTCTATCTCCTATGAATTCCGCATTTGGAAGGTTGCTTTGCAAGCTGTGATAGAGTCATATGTTAGGACCATATTCAAAACCAACAATGTAGGGTTAGAAAAGTATTTTTCTGTTACATGATCTTCCTCCCTCTCTTTCTTTATGTCCTTAAGATAATGACAATAGGATCACCAACGGTTTTAGCTGCTTAAGGATAGGAGGTATGAGTTATCAGCAGATACCAGCTATACTTATCAATAAACCATAGAGAGCTGAGGAAAGCAGGGAGCTAAAGCAGCTCATTTGGAGTACATTAGATAATTTTAAACTGACTGAGATTAATGAAAAAATTATCAAAAAATCTTTGGCATTTGAGTACTACACTGATGGTGATGATGCCTAATGTGGAGGTGTGTGCATACAAGGGGTCCCTGTTTTAAACTGCTCTGAACTCACTCCACAAGGAAGCTGTTTATATAGGTCCTACTGACAAAATAGAATCATAGAATCGTTAGGGGTGGAAAGGATCTTAAGATCATCCAGTTCCACCCCCCCTGCCATGAGCAGGGACACCTCCCACTAAACCATATCACCCAAGGCCTCGTCCAACCTGGTCCTGAACACTGCCAGGGATGGAGCATTCACAACCTCCCTGGGCAACCCATTCCAGTGCCTCACCACCCTCACAGGAAAGAATTTCCTCCTTATATCCAATCTAAATAAAGGTCACTGATCATCATACTGATCATCACTGCACAGTCCAGTTCTCAAGATTGCTCTGCAAAGAGCATTTGGGTTTAGAGCATAGGTAAGGCATAAAAAAAAAATCCTCTATCTGACAGAACCACCATTCTTCCCCTCACCTTCACTTGGGTTCATCCAGGTTCTCAAGCTGAAGTCCCACTGTCTCTGTCAGATAAATTGTACAAATCAACTTCCATTCCAGGAGTTCTCCTTCACATGGCAAAATCATTGTGGCTGGAAAATAGAGAAAGGATATTTCTTGAGTGCAACACTATCATTGACAATTAGTGCCTTTGGCTTCCCCTCTACAGCAAGAAGAATTTCACTCTGTGGATAAACAAAGAGCTTAGGTCTCTAGGCTGTTAGCCTTTAACAAACAATAAATTCATGCAACACTGTAGAAGGGAATAGAAATCAGAACAGCAACTTGAAGGGCTCTTTTTATAACATAAAGGATGTTTATCTCCAGGAAAAGAAGGCCCAGCAGCTAGCAAACACCACAAAATTCCCACACACCATGGCATTGTCTATAGCTCTTAGAAAGGTAAAACATGCTTGAATGGAGGTTAGCGTTCTTAACACTAGAGACCTGCACACTTAGAGAAAGACAATCACAGCACACCATTTCTCCCGAGGCAGTACAAAGTACTCTTTCTTATAATTGCAAGCATAAGATTTAAAAACATTCCTATTGCCTTAATGAGTCATGTTGCAAACTGGCAGCATACCAACCACTGGTTTAGGCTGTGTGGCACAACATGTAAAGTCCTTAATTCTCAATGCACAGGTCTCTCCACCCTTAGAAGATAGTGGCTTTGATAAAGGCTGGGAAGCATGGGAGCTCATTTACAGAATGCTTTTAGGGTAAGGCAGTTCTGCTCTTTTCAGTGTATAAATCTTTCCTTCCCCCCCCCCCTTCCTCTTCTGATTTTTCAAGGTTATTATCTCAGTGCTTTTTTCCTTAGTACCAATTCCTCTGAACTTGAGTGCACAATGACTCACAGCAGGGAGGCAGAGAGAGCTACCACCAGGAGCCTCCTCCCTGGAGAAGCTTCACAATGCTTCCTATTATTTAGGAACTTGAAATGCTGGCTTAATAGCACACATCTCTTAAACACCCCTTTCTTTCATTTGTTCACCCCAGGGAAAAAGCCAAGGATAGATATCTCCACTCCTGCTATGCCACCCTCCCCACACGAAAGGTGCATGAAAGCAAGGGGGGCTGCCAATCTCCACATTGCAGCTGTGACTCCTGACACTGCTGTTCAGCAGAATAAAGTGATGGGCTCCAAAGCTCAGTTCCAAGTTGTATTCACCCACCAGTGAAAGCCCTGAAAATGGTGAGAAAAAAACACAGCACATCTTAGGGGAGCATTACATTTGGAAGTGTTTTATTCATGATCAACCCTCTACCCCCAAAATCAGTTGGAGTGCAGGGGAGAAGACACTCCAGATGCTTTGACTGTGCTGGGATGGGGTGAAAAGCATCTCTGCTAATGTTTAGTAGAGGACCTTCTTAGTAGAAGTAAATCCTCTTTACCAGAACTCTCTTACCCCAGTTAAAGTCAGCCATCCTTTCTTGCACTCCCACACAGTATTTATTCAGCACAAAAGGATAGATACCAGGGACATACAAACAAATTTCTGCAAGGAAATCAACTCCCCCACTGTCAGAGATGACAAAAGTGCAGACCATTCTGCCTCCATGTGGGCTGTAGCCCTTCAAGCTTGAAGACAGTGTCTTGCAGGCTGACAACAGAATACGTGGCTATTGCATGGTATTGGCAAGCCCTCAAACTAACCTACCAGTCATTTAAATACGACTGTGTTATCTATTGCTCCTTCTAAATTTCTCTCCTCCAAAACCCAGGGCAGGTGAAATCCAATAGCATGCACTGACTCACAAATAGCTATTCATTTTCAAGGAATCTTTCACCTGAATCTTTTGTTAGAAGATTCTAAGGAAAACACTGGGTAACAGAAAGTATAGATGAAGTGACAAGTTGAACTGATAGCACACAATAAACGGTGTCTGGGGCTTCAGTATTGTTTGTTTGGATGAACAGGGTAATGGTGTGAGCCTAGCAGTGGTTCAGGATTACAGGCTACTAACTCCATTGTAAGAGATTCACCATGTGATGCTGAGCGTGTCTCCTTGCCTCTCTTTTTTTCCTCTCCTTGACACAGTTGCTTCTACATTAGCCATCTGCAAAAGAAGGTCCTCAGAAGAAGGCCTATCTTCCATCGACTTCTCCATCTCTGTTCTGGCCCTGGCACCATAATCCCTTGTCAGCATATCTAGCAATTGTCTTAAAGTGTATACAATTATAATGCATAGTAGTTATAAGAGCAGAAATAACTACTGGTTTTATGGTCTTGTGGCCTGTATAGCAATTTGTTGCAGTTCAGACATTATTCACACGAAGTCCAAGATCATAATGGTAACATCCAATGCATGTGATGACTAGACACTTTGGTTGACTGCTTACAGCAAAAATTGTTGTTTACAAGGCACTTGTAGAGATGGCAGCACTGCACTATTAAAAATGTATTAAATTAATTGAATTCAACCAGCCACAATAATAAAAAGGAGGAAGTGAGACTCTTCCACGACAGTACTTAGCTGCCTTTGACAGCATGCAAAGATGAATCCTCTTCATGAAATGTGGCATGCGCACAAAGGTGGATCAGGTTCTACTCTTGCTTGCTCTGTAACCTTCACAGGCTGCAACAAGTGGAAATGTAGTAAATGGGGAGTTTTCCTGTCCTGCCCCCACCCACTTGCAATCCAAGAACAGCACAGATTAGAAGCCCCAGTTTCCATTTGGACTGCTTCCCACAGGGATAAACACCTGCAGAATTCAAGTGTCATTTGGACATGCATGTTTCTAGAATGCCAGAAGATGAGCTTGTTCCCTTCCTTTCGCCATGCCATATACCAACCACATTCATGTGCCCATGAATACCACAAATCCAGGAGCTCTGAGACAAGTGGGGGCTCAGGACACAGGTTCTGAGCTAAATGAAACCCAGAAAGGGTGAAGCAGTTTGGCAAATCCCCAAGTCAAACCATCACGATATTGAAAAATCTATCAAAAAGCTAACTGCCTGGTAGAGGAGGTCAAGGTCTTACTGTGCAACTTTCTTCTTCATGCCACAGAGAAGTACAAATTATCTTTTCCTTCAGTACAGCTTGTGTCACTTTCAGGTGATCACAGAACGGTAGGACATGGAGCTTTATCCAAAACAGCTGAAATTTCAAGCCTTCTACATCTCAAGAGTAACATGTGCCCAGCAATCTATTGGCAAAAGGCAGCTGGATTAGGCATCAAACAGATTAATGCTGGGTGGAGAAAGAATATACACCCTTCCCCGAGGACACCATGTTTGAAAGGCTTCAGAGTTGAGGGCTGAGCACACCCACAAGCTGCTAAACTGGGCCAGCTGCAAAGATATCCTCCCCATCCCCAGCCTCCAGCTCTTTTGGGCACTGATTCGGTATCCCATGCTGCTGCTGCTGCTGTGCAAGAGACCAAAGGTTCATTAGGCATTTCTTCCTTCCCTCTGTAAGACTCATCTTGAAAATGTACTGCAGCCCTGAGCTGGCCTGACTCTGCTCACGTCTCTTCTGCCCAGCGTAATCCCTCAGCTAACTGCTGCATGGGAGAGGCAGCTCTTCCCCATGCACGAGTCCGTGCTTGGAACATGAATATTTCAGAACTGAATACAGACTGCTCAAAAATTATTAACACATTTCTGCAATGCATGTTCAAGGACTGCTGTAAAATAAGAGCAAGCTGTGCTTTCAGGGTCTGTGCTTTCCACTCTCAGACTGATCCTGACAGTATTTAAACCATGCAGCTACAGCCTTATTATGGAGCATTAATGCAACAGATCTCAAGGATATTTATTGACTGCTGCTGTTCAGAAACATTTTGGAATGGTTACTTGACCCCTGTTAGATCCTATGCTAAGGTGACATCTCCCAGGAGTTTATTTGTATTTCAAAGAAGAACACACTGACCATGTTCACTCTTTCCAACATTTCTTCCAGACACAAAGGATTATTTACGTATGCAAATATCTAATTCATTTTGTTCTTTTAAAATACTGTTTAAATACAGCTTTTAAGGGAAATAGAGTCCGTTTCAATTTATCTTAGTTGAAACTAGGGCTATAAATCTCTTCAGTTTCCTTTATTGATCTTAGACAAAATTACAAATATAAATTACAGCTGCTGCAAATTAAATGTTCTAATGACTGTGTTTGAAAGCAAATGCAATAACGTCAATAACACATTAGATAAGACACAGCAAGAATAGCATAAAGATACCATTCACTGGTGAAATCAAAGAGATTTCTGTGGAAACTCACAGCCAGGGGGTCCCTTCTCCTACAACCAGATTTCTCTCATATCCCTGATCAAGTTATGAAATTAGCTACACCGGATCTATAGTACTTGCAGATGGCTTAACGCACCCACCAAGAAAACTCAGGTTTTCAATTGGTCTGTCAGGCACTGTAGTTTCAGGATCTACCAGCTGCTAAAATGCTGTTCTTGGAAGTTTTTCTTGTAAATGCACCATAAAAGGCAAGCTTTGGCTGAAACTGTATTTTCTGTCTTGAAGAAATCAGAAAGTTTGTACACTGGACCAGGGCAAGAATCCAATACTGGCATATGGTGCTGAATCACTGTATTTGAAGAGGCAATACATATTCCATACAGCCCACGTTGAAAAATATAAATATATCTCCAGATTAACTGTTCACTGGTTTTCTTCATTCTTGATTTTACTAAAAACACTAGCCAAAAGGTCATGCTCTACAAGGGCAAATATCAAGTGATGCAGTTTCTATTTCACAAAGCAGCAGCAGCATCAGTTTTCTACACCACGGACACTTAGACCCTTAAGCACAAAGGTATCGGTTTACCAGGTCATGAAATTGCAAGTATAATAGCAGTGACTTTGCTGCACTTGATAAAACAGTAAAACATTTCATTTTGCTGCCTACTGAGCTTTAAAAAAACCCAGCATTGGAGAGGAGACAACATTCTTGTCACCATCGAAGTATTTCAAAATACCGACTTTCCTGCTTGTGATCTGTGGACATGCATTTTTCCTTCTCTCCAGTTCTGCCGCTCCTTTCTGGCACTGCAAATATCCAGAAAAAATGATTCCTTTTATGCTTTTAAAAAGTTTTATATGATCACAGAGCCTCTCTGAATACGTATATCTGTGTGTAGTCAGGGTATTAACATTTCTACAAATTTTATGAAGAAGACATCTTAGTAACTAGACAAATAAGCTGTCCGTTTATCCGGAGATAAATGCAGGACACAGGGACTAGAAATGCTGTTGTCTTTGTAGCTCATAGAACTAATTGCTTCTAAGCAGAATTCAATTGGTTTGATAGACACCATTGTTTCGGGGCCTAACTGCTATTAAAAGTGTTGCTATTGGAAGTCTCGCTTATAAATGCACCATAAACAGCAAGCTTTGGCTGAAACTGTATTGACTGTCTTTGGAAACCAGAAGGATTTTGCATACTGGGCCAAGGCAAGACTCCAACACTGGCAGGTGGTGCTGAATCACAGAATCATAGAATAGTTTGTTTGGAAGAGACCTTCAAAAACCATTTAGTCCAACCCCGCTGCAATAAGCAGGGACATTTTCAACTAGATCAGGTTGCCCAGAACCACATCCAGCCTGACGGATCCTCCTAGCCTGAGAGTTGTCCCATACATGATACCTTGTACCACTGGCATCTTTTATGTTTTTGGACGAAGAAGCTGGATATTTTTTTCTTAAAATAAAAGCATTTAGTGAATTTCCCCAAGTCCTTGGGGTGATTCAGGCACCATTTTCTATTTTTATGGTGAAACCAGTGGGCATACCAGTAATTTTCCAAACCTAGCCTATATGGCTGGTAGACCTGTGTCTCTAAGGTGTAAGCACAGGGGCTTCCCTGGACAGGTATGGATGGCCTCTGATCTAGGGATAGTATTTATGTAAACTAGCCTCTGACATTCTGGTTTATCCTTCACTGTATATCAGTTTGAGAAATTTAATTCATGGTTTAGTTTGACTTTTAGCTCTGTGTGATATTTTCTGGTACCAAAACTTGACACTTAATAAAGGAAATTTCAAGAAAACACCAGCCAGCAAGCTAAATATTTGCACAGGAAAGGCAGATTTTATAGAGACCTCAAAAATGATTGCCTTGCTGACAGCCTAGAAAGATTCTCCTACTTCAACCTCAAGATGCCCAAAGCAGGATCTTCTTCTGCCTTAACACTTTTTATACTGACTTCTTCTCAAAATAGAAAGGTCTCTTGTTCAGCTCTTTTGGGTAATAGTGCTGCCCATATCTGGCTTTGGGAAGATTTTTCTCCTCTCCATTAATGTTCGTTAGTCCAAGCTATTCTGCGTGTAGGCATTCAAGCATGTACAAATTCCAGTTATCTTCCATGGGAATATTCTGCAAAAATCATCTGCTGGATGCAAAAGTTCAGCTGAGAGAATTATCAACATCCAACAGTAAATGCTGTGATCTTAGTGCTAAATGGCAAAGAAGCAATTACAGAGATCAGGTTAAATACCTTTCACAATGCCTGCAAGGCTTGAAATATTTGCTTTTATAATTGCACTTGGTAGCACAGGGTTTGTGTACTAGTGAGCCAGAGTGGAAAGAACTGATCCCTTCCTGAGCCTGGCCCCTCTTCTGCAGTTATTTGCAGAAGGGAAAAGCACAGCCTTTGCATTCAAAAATCTCATGGAGCTTTGCAGGCAAAAACCACCCATGAAAATTTCTTTGATTATGTTTAAATATTTCAGAGAGGTGACCAGACTTTGAAAGTTTAATTACCTTAAACCAAGAGAGGGCAGAGAATGAGGGCAATGACAAAGAAAAGGAGAAAAAATGAACTTTTTTCCAGGACAAAGGGAAGTTACTATTTATGAACCTGCAAGAGAATTAGAGCTGAAATAATTAGACAGAAAAAGAGATTTTAATTAATGATGGTAATTCTTACAAAAGGAACCAGATTGCCAGCCCTGGAAACTGCCAGTTCTTTTTATCCATAATGAACATACAATCTCAATGAAACTATTGCAAAGATCTTTAGTGCTGCACATAATTCTGAGCTGAGAAGTCCAGTGTCTGCCTGGTCATACCTCTTGTTTTTTTTCTGCAGATGAGCTTAGCAACATGAATAGTTCATTAAATCAATACTTTGGTGCAACCAGACCACTTGACATGGGCCAGCTGATCTCTAATGACTTGAATCAGATTATATTGATGTCTAAGAATCATAAAATATACTGAAATCAACGGAGAGTCCCACAGGTACAAATGATCACTGCATCAGGGTCCCAACATGAGGAAGTCATGGCAAATGGTTACCAGCTCCCTCCAATGCCTAAGTAACCCTTTAAAAAAAAGGTACCTCTTCATTCAAATCACACTGCTTTGGTTAACTTCCTGTTATTCTGTTTAGAAACAAAGTTCACACTATCCCAGTCCTTATGAGCACCATATCTGCGTGGGCCATGAGGCAACACATTTGTGGAAAGCAGCAGCTGCAGAATTTGCTCCCGAATTGGAAGGTGCAGGGGAAGGATTGGTTTTTTAGTTATTAATAATATTCTGGAGTAATGAAATGCTAGCAGAAGCCTTTCACCATCTCCCTTTACATCCTGTTCTCCATGCCTTTGCAGCAGATGGAGAATTCTACCTCCCAGAAGTGCTGAGCAGACTAGCAGATCTGGTGTACAAGTCCTCTGATGGAAGAAAAACTAGCCTGGCTGTTCCCTGAAATGTTAATTTCTAATCCCTGTTGGCTAACACAGCTGGCTTAAACTGAGTCTGAAAAGTAATACCTTGCTGCAGTTCCCATAACGTCCTATAGTAAGGAGAGCAATGATCTTCACTACTTGAGCCCAATATGAAATAGATTAAGTCACATGTATCAACTTCACTTTAACATGAGCATTTCTATTACCTGGGTCAGAGATTCTGTGCAGTCACTCTCCAAAACCTCCTGTTATTAATTCAGCAATTATAGCTTTATGGTGGCAGGGAATCTTCAGTGTTTGAGCTGGCACTGGAAAGCTGTAATTCTGAATGGGACATGAAATGAATTACTGGATTGCTGTAATTTTTCAGCTTTTCATGCATTTTCACTGCATATATTAAAAATAGAGCAAGTAATTCACCTTTAATTATGCAAATTCAAAGATAGGAAGACAAGAGACGGATGAGTTTTTAAACGCCTGCTCTGCCTGGCCACCTGAGGTCAGCATAGAAAATACACCAGCTAATCAGGTAGCCAGGCCCATCAAACTCCTGCTTGCCTGGACGTACACAAAATTACCTCTGTTTAGTATTCAACACTATTACAAGAGCACAGAGTACAGGAAAGAAACTGCCAAGCTGAGGAAAAGCTGGGAAAAGGCAAACCTTCTCAACCTGCCTTCCCCATCTCTTCAGATGTTCAGGGCCAACTCACACATAGCTGTCCTCACATCTGACATCAATATAAGACCTCAGAGGCTTTCAGGTATCTACATGCTTTCTAATTTGGCAATTTACTTCCTGACACTAAAGCTTGATTTTACTGGGACAGCATCCTTTGCCACTCTTCCTCAAGGAAAGGGAAAATTTGCCCAACACTGATATAATGAATGACTTTTCACTAGAGTATTAAAATTAGGACCATTGCATGCATCTGCTTCCATGTTCTGCAGCTCTGCCCTTGGCTTCTTCACTGTTCCTTAGCAAACCAGCTCTTACACAAGTGTCCATACGCAAGTGTGTGAGTTTGCTGTGAAGGAGGGAGAAGCTACACTGCTCTCAAAGACACTGTTGTTAAATTATAAGATAGCAAGTGCAAGTAATGAGGGCTTGTTGAAAGTCTAGTGGCTGTATCTAATAGTAGCAGTGTTCAGTGCAGTAATTACAGAGGCAAGAGATTGCTGAACATGTGTAAAAAAGGAAATAATTGGACTAGCAGTAATGCAAAAGCTTCTCCAAGCCTAGAGCAATTTTTATTTTGCCCTCCTACCGATGTGCTGCTTATCAAGGATACAGTGGTTAGAAACTAGCTCTCTTTAGTGAATGTCAAGTTTAGGCTTTCTATCCAGGAACCCCAAGGCTTCCCATCCAGCCATCCAGTACATCCACGGTTCAGGACACAAAGGTAAGATCACTCAAACACCTTACTGCCTTGCCCTGAAAGGATACATCTGCCTGTTTTCATGGAAGCCTGAAGAACTTTCAAGGGAGCAAGCTAGCAAAGCAAATCTCCAGCAACCTACTGAAAAGAAGGTGCTAAGAAAGTGCTCACAAGATATTGCTGTGCTGCATTCTTCACATTAATATTTTCACACCAGGTGGAAACTTTTCATTTTCTCTAATCTCTTCCTCTTCCATTCCCCACCCTGAGATGTCACACTGCTAGCTGCAGTCTTGCTTCCCTAAAGGTGATTTCTCACAGCTTTCTCAGCAGCTATTCTGTGTGCTGGAGTCTTTCAGTGCTTTCCTGAGTGCCTATTGCATCCAGTTTCAAAAGAAAGCTTTCTGAAGGGGAGTGGGTGGTTAGTGTTATTCTGTTAAGTCCTTGGCATTGCTATTACAAATCTCACTCACATATGGTATCTGCCCTGAAACCCTGGAATTCAGCCTTAAACTTCAAAACTCATAGCTCCATTTTGGCACACCTGCTGATCACAGCCTTTATAAATCTAGCCAGAATTGAGCATTAACTTCACCTTACAGCATCTGTAAAAACCTTAGTCACATATTAGTCTTTTGCTGTCTCAAGTACTACTGCTTCTTTTAAAATTGTATTAAATTCCTGTTCTTCACAAAGTGAAGCACAGAATTAGCTGACTTACCTGTTTAACTGCTTTACTCTAACAGACGTGTGTCTTGTTGGGCAGGGGAAAGTCACTATTTCAGTCACTTACCCACATGTATCACCAGCTTGCTCTCTCGCAAGCTGCTGAGTCATTTTTCTCTCTGTCTCATCATGGAACACTTCTTGCTATATCTGACAAAACATCCTGACACACTGTTTCTATGAACTCGCCACCAACAAAGTCTGAGACCATAGAGCAAAAGAACTGAGATAACTGTCTTCCTATTGCAGTAGGAAAAGTAGCTCTTACTCACTGTGAGCAGCAGAGCTTGAACTTCTCTACTTCCCAGTCTTGCTAAAGGGAAAACTGATTCGTATTAAAATCAGAAGGAAACAAAGAGCACAAAAGAAGATGTTGACAGTGTCATTAAGGATTTCTTTTAAATGACAGAATAAAGCACAACTAATATCTTGGCTTGAGGGAGATAAAACACTTGTGTGGATTCTTCCATTCTCCGATATCTGATATCACCTGATGTCACTGCTATGTAGCAATGGTTCTTGTAACTCTCTTAAAATTAATTCTGCAATACACATCTGTTACCGGTTCTGCCAACCAAAGACTGTATAAAGATCAGCTTGTAATGAGAATCAGTTTAACCCCATTTACTTTCTTAATGTCAGCAGTATCACAGAGATCGCTTATAATCTTGCATGTTAAAGGAAAGCAGTTAATTGTGCTGCTGTACCAGATTTAGACATAAAAGGCAGAATTAATAACAGGTTTAAAGAAAAAGCTGAGAACAGGATTTCTGAATGCAGGAAAAAGCTAGTGTGAGTTAATATCAGCTGGTAAACAGAAAACACAGTTAATATTTGGTTAAAAGATAAGACTAAGAATGGTTATTGATCTGAATGACTTATACATAGAATGAGGGATAGAAAACAAACATTTTGATGAAAACAAGTGACAGAAGCACCAAGGTTGCCCCTTTGTTTAAAGTATAGTTCTCCTGAGCAAATGTGGCTGCCAGAATAGAAACAACGATTTCTGAGCTTGCCCCACAGGAATTCTCATATGGTTAGTAGAGACCAAATAGGCACCAGGTAGGTAATATGGGATGGTCTCATGCTACCTGGATACTGCTGGGTATGGAGCCAGGGCCTCAGGTAAAATAACAGGATCCAGTTTAGGACTGTTGGAGGAACTTACGGATGCAATAAGGCATATAACACTTTTTGCAGAGGGCTAGAAGGGAACAGGTGTGCAGGTCCTCTTGGTTTCAGCGAACATGAGTGGCCTACCTTCCATTTCTGGAGAAAAAAATAACCCAAAAGACTGTGAGCGTATTTGCATCCTTAGGCCCCTGAATACCTTTATTCTTAATGGTCTTAATACCTGCTTAAAGCAAGCAGGACTGTAGGTTGGCAGGGAAAGATTAGAGCCTTTCAACTCATAATTTATTTCCCAGGCTGCTCCTAGGGCACAGCAATTATGCACTTTCCCTTACCCAGGACAGACTGTAAAATGACTGTATTGTCCTTAAAGACTAAATCAAAGTAAGCAAAAAGGTAAGTAAAGGTTTTCTACATAGCTGCTACCATTTTATAAAAAAAAAACCTATTGAACTTAAATGAAAGGTACCCATAGGAACATAACTTATCTTTTTTTTCTTTATTTTTAACGATCCAAGACACCGTTTAAACAACAATGCTACTATAGATTTACTTAGTTGATTTCTTTCTGAGTACACCAGAACCCTGATCCTTCAGACAATGAATGCCACAGAAAGCAGCATTAGGCAACTTACTGTGAGACCAAAGTGTATTTGTGCAGCAATAAAAAAGAAAAGAGTTAGGACAATAATGAGCAACCAAATAGTAACACAGTTAAGGGTGCTGCTTTGCAGGAGACAAGTGACTATTCTCAACTCTGAAGTGCCAGTGTAATGAATCACAAGAGCCCACTAAAATGAGAGCAAACATATAAATTCTTTTTATTTCACTATGTACAAATACCAAAGCAATTCTGGGTTGTTAACCTCCACAGCTTGAGGACAATATGTTCATCATTATTGTATAGCACTTCTTTTTTCAGAAATTCTCTGTATATTGGTTTTGATGGTTTACTGAAGCACAATGTGTGCCTGAAAGGAGGCTCATTATCAGACAAAGCTGAGTAGCTGATAAAAAAGTGGACAACTTCTTAAAAAATTAGCTAGGAAAGGAAGCAAACTGATACTGCACATTATTTCTGACAATGCAGATTGTGAAGAGATACTGAAAATAGTTGGATTTTTGCTTCTGCAAGGATTTCATAGCTCCTCTTTTCCTAAAGGGCTTAACAGTTCCAAGTTTATTTCCTTTACCAGCGCTGCTGTTTCATCTCTATGCACTCTGCTTCCATAGCTACTGCGGAAGTGCACCTATTCCTGCCTTCTCTGCTCTGTGCAGAGTCCCTTTAAGGACTTCAAGCAAGTCTGCTGCCAAAGATGCCTAACTGACATCAACTGAATTAGAGTAGAAACTCCTGCAAAGAACAGCGAGCACATGGGAACTGTTTATTTTGTGAGGCTGGCTGGGCACATGTCACTCTTGGCAACCACAGTGGACACTGCACTCTCCTCTCCATCCTGATCTGGCCAGGTCACCCTAACTCAGGATTTGAGAAATACCTTCCCTGATGCAAATTGTGTCTTTCAATATATTACAGAAGGATGACATTCCAACAGACAGACAATAGTCTGCAGTTATCTGCCTGCTCCCATCCCTACGGAGAAGGTCATAGTCATGAAGGAAGGCAGAGTAAGGTACTTCAATGTTATCCCTGTAGATGTGCACTATAAATAAGTCATGCTCCATAAAATCGCCTTCTAATTACAGCTCTGACTGATGCACCCGTGCATTGCTGCCATGTTTTCTCTCTGTATTTGCAGCCTTACCACTGTGATCCTGAACCTCACTTATATAGAACTTACCCCTTGGTATTCCTCACATGAAGCATATTGCATGAGTTAAGGTAAAAAACTAGGCACTGGACAAAGTGTTATACAAGTGGTAAGAAACTTCCCTCTCCTGGGAAATGCTTTCTCAGTTTACTAAAAGTTTGAGGAAACAGATGTATTATTATCTGGGTATGGAAATGTAAGTAGCAAAAAATACCTTTCCTTCTAGACCTGTTCATTATCCATGGAGAACAGGAAGCAAACAAACAAAAAATGCTTAGAATTCTTCAACGGGCAATTGAGTCTTTTAAAAATA